CTGTTGGTCGGGAAGCTTCCTAGCAGCACCCAGTCACACAACAGACGGGTCCCCAGGAGAGGCCTAGGTCGGGGGGGCTGTTCTAGCAATCTCACGAGCCTCTCATCATGTTTGTGTCCCTATTAAGAGCCTCTGGGCACCATCTAATATTTACATCCTCATACCACCCTCAAATCTCCACTACGCAGTCCTTTATACAACCTGCCCCAAGTATCTCTGATATTCTCAAGTATCGTCTACGTCTAAACCCTATCAACTTTATGTTTTATGTTTTATGTCTATCCGGCTGATATGTTTCCAACCTCACTCTTGCCTTATTTGCCCGCCCTCTTCTGAGGGCAGTAGGTTTCTCTTGTCTCATCATGGAGAATCCTTGCTGAACCCCTATGGCCAAAATAGGCCCCTTATTCTGAGTTAAACTAAAAACCGTCGCAAATGCCTGAGACCAGGTGGACCATCCCTATTCTAGTGTAGTTGAAACTACTTGAAGCTTATCCCCAGCAGTATATTCAACAGCATATTCAACACTCAAAATATATCCCATGTCCCTTCCTCTGTCATCCCCCYTTTTTTCCATTTTCCAATGTTAACTTGACCTCCCATTTCCCACTACCCCCTACCATCTACCCTCCTCTCTCTACGCCCGATTCCTCCCATTCCTTTGTAACCTATCTACCCTATCCCCAATCTATGCTATCGACTGACTGCTGCTTGTGTCCTCCGTGTCCAATCTGGGCACGTAGTGTTGCAGGGCCGGTCCAAACTGCAACTGTCCTGTAGTAAAGTCGTGCACCAGCATTTGCGGGAACGGAGCCCATCTCTGCCAAAAGTCTGCCGCCTTGGCCTCCCCTGCGCATCTACTTCGGTGAAGATCCGCCAATATAGCAATGCGAATATTCTCCAGTGCCCGCTCCTGATAGGCCCCAAGTGGCAGGGACGTTCCTTGCCTACATCGTTCATTTCTCAGTGTCCACAAAGCCCATAACACTGCTGCCCTCACAATCTCTTCCACCACCATTTCGGCCATGGCCCGCCTACTTGCCTTGCCCAGGGTACCCAGCAAGATATCTGTGTCGGTCGTTTCATCCACCTGTAACGGTGTCTTGTCTGCCATTTCCTGCGCCCACCACTCCCAAAACTCCTGCACCCTTGGGCATCGAACAAAAAGGTGGGGGATTGTTTCCACCTGGCCGCAAGCTGCTGCACAGGTTTGGTCCTTATGACAACTCTTGGCAGCCTGCCACTGAGCAGTTGGGATTGCCAAATGGTAAATCTGCCATTGCAGGCCCGCCTGCTTTTGGTCTGGCAAGGCAGCCATGATGTTGCATTGTTTGTTCCACTTTCATTGAGTCCAATTAGCAAGGCACACGTCCGGGAGCCACTCCCGTTTAGCCCACCTCGCCTTCAGTTCCCCACAGATGTTCACTGATTCCAACAGCGAGCTGTAAACAATCTTCGTGGTGACCTCTTGGAGTGGCATCGATCTCCTGTGCGTCCTCTGAGGAGGCCATTCCCAATCTGCCGGGTTCCAGGCAAGGGCTCTCAACCGGGTTGCGGTGCAAAAGGGTAGGTAGTGTCCAGCCTCTTTCTTCCCTCCTTCACATACCCAACCGTTCCCACCAGAGCTCGTGCTATTTTCCTCACAGCGTGCAGGTCCTGCAGTGGTTGCCCCAACCCCTCCCATCCCCGTCCCGGCCTGTCCTTCCATACAGTGACCTCCACGTCCCCATTCGGCAGTACCTGCTTGACTCTATAGAGCCTTTCGGGTGCCTCACTCCCCTTAAGCTTGACCCACTGGCCTACTACCATCTCATCCTTTTTTTAGCACTTCCACCCATTGAGTCGGAATAGCCTGTCTCATGTCCTTGACCCTTTGGCCCCTCTTCATGCACCCCTGCAGTGCAAGATCCATTTCCTCATCTGTACGCCAATCCTTCCGATCCTCATCCCACAAATGTCCCACCTTGAAAATGCCCTGCTCCGCCCATTTCCATCCATAGGCCCCTCGCGCCCCCTGCCATGGGTAGGGGTCCCCTGCCTCGTCACAAATAAACCGGTTACCAAAGAGCAGCTGGTTAAAAATAGCATCCGTTGTGTCGGGGAGCCGACATCTCACCTGGATCTTCTTCCACAGGGCCAGTTTCTGAGTCCACACAGTCCCCCTCCGAATATGACCCATCGCGGAGCTGCTGAGCAGGCAGAGGTCTACCAGTTCCCTAGGGACCTGGAGAGCATAAGCAAGATGAGACAGCGTCACCTCTTGCCAAGTTGCCCCCTCCGAGCGCAGCAGGGCCCAGATGAGCTGTCGCAATTGAAGTGCAATTATCTGTAAGCGCGGATCCAGTAGGCCCAGCCCTCCAAACCTTCTTGGTTGAATTAGCTTACACCAGGCAACTCTGCAGATAGAATTCTCTGACCTCGCGTTGTTTGACCACAGATGCGCTTGGACCGCCCTCCTAATATATTGGAAGGTACGCCTCCCTRGCATATGAATTGMGCCCGCRTACCACAGGGTGGCSAGCACCGAATTCTTAATCACTATAGCCTTTCCAAAAGGCCCCATGCTCCCTCTCGCACTCCATGCTTGCAGTCTTGCCACCGCCGCTGTGGCCCGTACCGCCATCTGCTCAATTCCTCCATAGCTCGGTGTTAGATTGGCCCCCAAAAATGCCATTCGCTCTCCTTCGACCACTGTGGGAATGTCCCATCCTTCTGGAGGGTCCATCCCCAGAGGCGGAATGGCCCGAGACTTCTGCCAATTCACCCGTGCGCCTGAGTACCTGCAGAAGGTTGCCAGGTCCTCTTTGAGAATGCCCAGCTGCTGAGCCGTTGGAACGAGTACTGCACCTGTGTCGTCCGCAAAAGCTGTAGATTGCAGTTCCGCTCTTGGTCCCGCCTTGAGACTGATAAGGCGGCTGTCGGCCCGCAATATCTCGTGCAGTTCTGGATTCTGGACTTTTTTTTTTTTTTTTGGTCCGGGGTGCCAACAACCCCCGACCGGTAGGTGCCGACCAGCTGATCGGTCGGCAGGTCGGCAACCAACCAGTCAAGGGCCGCCGACCGTTGGGGGGTGCAACCCTGCTTTGCAGTCTAAATCCAATCACACACTCTTACCTCATGTACCTGAATTCACAACTGGGTTCACATCCTGCTGGAGGCTCCACGACTGATGAAGGAATGTTCTCAGATGTTCGCAAAAAATGCAAATGAGATGAACCTCCTAAGGCTCCTAGTTTCGAGGCCATTGTCGAATATCAAAGAGCATTTATCCACACTTCTAGTCTGCTAAATTCACAATTTGCAAACCCTCTAGAGAACATAATTACATATATAATGCTATATAATATATATACATTGTCACACATCGTGGTTTCGAGGACCTGAATAGCCAGCAAATTGGCTATTCAAGAAGTACAAAATATTAAATGGGTAAACAATGTCACAATCAGTGTGGGAAGGGAGATTGACAGAATATTGCTGTAGCATTCCTAAAATGGAGGACTCAGCCTGCACAAAGCAGTCCATACGTAAGAAAAAGCAAAAATCAACATACTCTACCAGGGATTGCATCCCAAGCAGAATGTTAACACAAGAAGCAGGAATAAGACAACCAGCTTAGGGACTGGCTTGTTGCTGGCGAACCTGCGAGCACCATCTTGCAGGGACAAAGTCAGCACAAGCGCGGTCATGAGGTGATTGCCACCACCTATCCCGTCCGACACCATCTCCAGATCAATCCATCCAGGACGTTCCTTTAAACCACCAGTACATCCGAAAAAGGAGATTGAGCCTCTCCTAAAAACAAGGAGACCGTGAACAGCCGATTCATTTTATCGACGACCCATGGCCTCCAAACTTTTAAGAGAGGCTCAATCTGCTTTTTCGGATGCATTCGTGGTTTAAAAAGGGAAAAAAAGAGGGGGACTTGCAAGCTTAATCATGTTCGTGAATCAGGTTAAAGTCCTGTTGCAGTGCATAGTGCCAAAGCCCGCTCTTATGAGTTTACTAAGCACCTAATTGAAATTACACTCAGGCTATAGTCCTGATTGCCCTTCTCGATTTTCTAATGCCAGATGAAGATTGAGGCAGCAGAATGGGAATGCAGACATCCCGCCTGCAGGAATCGGACAGAGCCATATCCAGCGGTTCTAATGCTCTTGCAGCAGAGCTGTTTTCTCAGGTTCTAGTATACGTACATAGAAGAATGACAACCCATGATGTGTCAGGCCACAAACCACTTTCTCTCCAAACCGAAAGTGGATGTCCGCCACTCATATCACATCAACATCGACTGGTGCTGCTTTTGTTGTTTTGCCGGAAATATGCTCCCAGTGCTCATGGTATTTGCCCCTAATGCTCTCTGTTGATGCCCGATGCTCATCTCTCGCTAGAACACCAAGATTCCGTCCTCCACTGGTAAGAGACATGGGGCAACCAGTTACAACCATAAAGTATCCAGCAACTCTCACTAACCAGCTGCTAGCCTAGTCTGCATTGAGACCAACCATGCACAAACAGGTCACACAATTCTTATACCAGGTAAAGCACCACATGAAATACACATCAGAAGAGGACCCAAGAATAGTCTCCGCAAGCCCACACATATAGAAGATTCCTTCTGGAAACAACACTCAGGTATGCTCTCTCTCTCTCTCTCTCTCTCTCTCTCTCTCTCTCTCTCTCTCTCTCTCTCTCTCTCTCTCTCTCTCTCTCTCTCTCTCCCCTCCCCACCCCCACCAACTTACTTACAGTCCACACGACCCTCTCTGAATACCCCCCGCCTCTCTTCTCTAACCTGACTACAGCTGTACGCGGCCAGTCCTGGTGACTACCCTCACAGTGACTTGTAGGACTCAGTCGCACACAGCAGCTCAGAAGCGCTTTCGTTAACATGTGATAACGACCTCAACGCTGGGACTTCTATATCCGACCCTTCGCTTCGATGCTTCCTCTTCGCTTTGCCAATGTCTGTTGCTTCTCGAAGTTCCCCGACTTTCCTGGGACTTGCTGCTGACTGGACCGACTGACAGGAAGGTCTACAGACTTCTACCAACTTTCCAAGGTCGACCGGTACCTACCGGAATCTACCTCAGAGGGTCAGACGCCCTACAGGTATTTGGGTCATACCTGGGACATGGGCGTATGGTACATGGGACCAGGACAGGGACTGAAAACTCGGACTTACAAATGGAATTGGGACTCGGACCAGGACGGATAGCAGTGAAATCCTTTCAATTTGCTGTTCAGGCCAACTTCTCGCTATCAAAGAACTTTCAGTACGGATAGGTCCAAGTCCCCAAGGACAACTTGACTCGGTTTTGGACAAAATAAAAGCAACAGCAAGAACACACTGGGTGACGAGAATGATGCCTTACTTGCGCTTCTGTCCATCTGAATCATATCCATCGTCGTCACTCTCACTTTCCTTTTGCTGCACATCCTCATCTTCGTCTGCATCGCTTGCATCCCAGTCTTCATCATCAATAGTGTCGACTTCCTCCACCTCTTTGAGCTCTCTGTTGCTCTGATAAAGATTGCAAATGGAACAAAAAATGATTTATCCAAAATACATAAATAAAATAAATAAATAGATAAATAAATTAGATCAGTAATTAATGAATGTTTATCTTGAATTTATTTTATGTTCTATGTTTATAATCAATTTACATACTTCAATCAAAAAATATACTTATTTTTACAAACAATTCTATTTTTAAAGTAATTATGCGTAGTTAGTAGACTCCGGCAATAGCTCACATTGACAAGGAACGGGAAGGCCATGGCAGTGCACACCATGCTTCATCCTAGTCTCTAATGTATACATATATACCACTTTGCTAACCCGCAACTTCATGGGGGGTGGTGGGCCACTTCACAGAAGACGCAGCAGCAGAAAACATTGTTCACGCTATCCATGAGACTAAGTGAAGTTCCCATCTTGGAGCAGACCTCAAAACAACAGGAGAATCCCAGCAATCGGAATTGTGGATTTATTTGAGGAGTCATGCTGGACGATACTATAAATAGATGCTTTGGACAACCCAGTACCATTTCATGGTTTTCTTACCTTAATGGCAGACAGAGAAAACAAGCCAGTTTCGCCGTAGAGATCGTCCGTTGCATCCGCATTCCCTCGCAGTGCCGCTCGTAGACGTTCCTGGCAGATTCATCCAAAATCAGAGAGTTTTCCTGAGTCCACTGTCATGGCTTTAACAGTCATCAGCAGTGCACCACTACAGGTTTCCTAAGAAACAACGAAATCAGAAATGCATAACCGCAAACTGGACATCATTCCTATTATTAGCAGTCGCTTTCTTTCACATATGTGCTGAACTTTTCCGCCCCAACATAAACGAACTTCTAGGAGGAAGCAACATCGTGACTGATACTATCTCCGTTGCAGATACGCGTCAGTTGTTCTCCAATCCCACGAAAGGCAGCAAACGCCAAATAATGCGGAGTCACCGATAATGACAGCACCTCACAAAATGTGCGGAGGTGAGATAGCACATTCCCCAAACTCCTTGAAAAAAGGTTTCGATTGGATAAGCAACCTATCACAGCGAACACCCAGGAAGCCAATGATCAATAAAATGCATTCAAGAAAATGCAGTCATATCCTACTCTCATAGGCACGCAAATATGCACAGATTCGTCAAGACGCAAGGAGTTGGTACACACATTTCCACAAGCCAGATCTCATTTGGTTCAAAAAGGAATAGGGGACAATAAACTGTTGCTGTTGATCAATAAAATGCATTCAAGAAATGCAGTCATATTCTACTCTCATAGGCACTCCACAATGCACAGATGCATTAAGATGCAAGGAGTCGGTACACACATTTCCACAACCCAGATCTCATTTGCTTCAAAAATGATAAGGGGACAATAAACTGCTGCTGTTGATCGATAAAATGCATTCAAGAAAATGCAGCCATATCCTACTCTCTCATAGGCACTCCAAAAGGCACAGATGCGTCAAGATGCAAGGAGTCGATACACACATTTCGGCAAGCCAGATCTCATTTGCTTCAAAAAGGAAGTAGGGGACAATAAACTGCTGCTGTTGTAAACTAAGCAAGCATCCATCCAACCTTTTGGCGCTGCTTTGCCAGTTTCTTCTTTGCCTTCCGTTTCTTCGTGTCCATAAGCTCCTTCATTTCCTCCATCTCCTTCAATACAACGATCTCATGTTCCTATAGGCCAACAATGAAAGCATACATCCAGCAAGTTACACATGCATGCATGCATGCATTCAAGATAACAAGCACTACGGCAGCAACAGTTCATTTCACACTTGAACTCAACTGGGGAATCCAAAGGCGGTAAGCCAAGCTTGCAGCGAGAACAAAAACGTATCCCATCAGTCGTCTCATGGACAAGACACACTCACTGGCCAAATTTTATAAAAGGAAAAACAGAAGTTCCACGGGAGAGGCAAAACACAAGCTCCTGAGGAAAGACAAACCTGCTGCCTGTCCTCAAGCTTCAAGCGGTGTGAGACAGGAGAAGACTGACAAAGCTATCTTAGAGGACCCCAGTTCAAAACCATGTCAGTGCAGAACCAGAAGAGCGATGACGGGCTCACCAACAACAAGAAAACCTGCCTTACGAGATCAAACATACAACCTCACGCTGAAGAAAGGGACTCCGATTCATACAGTTCATAGTAACATAACACAAGGCAAAACAAACATTCCGAAAGTTTTCCAAGTTGCAAGACTCAGGACAACACGACAGTTGACTAATCATTACATCTCACTAGGCAAAACAAATCTCAGAGAGTTTCCCGACTTGCATGAGGCAGGCACATACAGAGTGAGAGCTAGCAGAGCAGCAAAATTCCATACTGCTCATTCAAATGTCCTCCTTTCTAACCTAGCATCCAAACTACGCGTGATGCACATATCCAAAAGACGGTGACACAGCACATTGCAGAACCAGCCCAATGCCTAAGGCAAATGCAGATCAGCAGTATGCGCTCTAAGCATCCTTCAGAAAACTACTACTGAAACGTTAACAAGTGCTCTAAGCATCCTTCTGGAAACTACTACTGAAACATTAACAAGTGTTTTTTGAACGAGTCTCAGTTGCACGGGTTGAAACATGGTGTTTTTGAAACCTGCATTGTGGATAACAATGTGTGTTCTGCAACCCTTGATCAGAACAAACAGTAGGTGTCAGTTTTTGATTGAAGAGCATGCCAAATTTTTAATGGCCGAAAGGAAACATTTAGGACATTGCTCTTTGACTGTAACTCCTAGGGAGGTTTAGTAGCTTGTCCCTCAGGTTTACGTAAGTCGTCCCTCAGGTTTACGTAAGTTGTCCCTCAGGTTTGCGTGATGGTTCCCAGGAATACTCCACTTGACCCTTAGAGGCTTGCTCGTCTGCACTATTCAGGGGGTGTCTACCAAGGGCGCGTTTGCGGATGTCCGGCACAAAAGCTCAGTGAACCTGCGCTGCCAATGACCTGCGCGGCGCACCTTCGGGCAGTCCGCCCCTCACATTCAACCAGTCTTCCCCTCCCAAAAAAGAAGTGGAAAGTCTCTCAAAGCAACACAATCCCCGCCCCCTAGTGAGAATGCGTGGGGACGAAACAAAAAATTGGTATGGACCATTAACACTACAAATTTCGAAAAGTGAAAAAAAATGGGTCGGGCTGAGCTCTTTCTTGTTGGTGTTCTTCCAAGCAGCTGCCCCTGCACCCTCGACGTCCTCTGCTTCCTATTCGACATACTCCACAGTGCCAAGTCCATCGACAACACACCTAAGCCCTCGAAGCAGCCCCGGAGCACCTGGAACCGTGCATGGAGGAGCTCCATCCCCATCCACATGTGAGTTTCCAACAAGTCCACCAACATCTCTCATCCACCCTCCGGCTCACCTCCTTCTCCTCATCCTCGTCGTCGTCGTCCTCCTCCTCCCCCTCCTCCTCTCCACTCCTGTTGAAGTGGGTGAGATAGCAGTGGCCGCAAATTCGCGGTGTTCTTTTTTTTCAGAAGCATCTCCTCCTCCCCTCCTCCTCTCCACTCCTGTTGAAGTGGGTGAGATAACAGTGGCCGCAAATTTGCGGTGTTCTTTTTTTTTTTTGTCGGAAGCATCCATCTGTGAGGATTGAGCCCTCAAAGGGGCCTTGCCGTGATGTACATGTTCTGGGCTAAGGCCCCCAGCAAGCCTCGTGCCCGCCCTAAGTGAAGGCGGGCCAGCAAATCAACGAGAGCCCCTTTTGTTCAACATTTCACGAAGTGGGGTCCATACAGTTGCCGCACGCCAGTTGGTTGGAGTGCACTGAGTACCAGATCTCTGCAATCTGCAATTGCAGAAGGACCAGGACCCCAGAATTGGTTAGGCCCTGGGCGCATAATCGTGAAGCCGACATTGCATGCTGGACATAGAGGCCGAAAATGCCAATGGGAAACCGGTCCACTATCTGAATCTGGACGCAGGCCTTGATGAAAGAGGCCCAACTGTATTATGTGGGCCCCAACCGCATTGGGCCTGGTGCAGGTACTGGGGCCCAGGCGCAGGCTCAAGGGAGGCCGCCCACACGCAACACTGGCATATAGGCAGAGCGGGCGAGTGGGCAGGCATCTTGGCCATTCGAGCAAGGCCGGCACGCTGTTGCGTTTGCGAGTGTGCTGTGCTGCGCTAGGCTGAGAGAAGGCAGGCTGGCGCTAAGCGGTAGGGCGCAGCCTGGGCGCAGGGCGCTGGCAGACATAGCCAGGCTGGACGAGGGCGCTGGAGGAGGTGAGGGCGAAGGTGGTTCTTCGGGAGGTGAAGGGCGCTGTGTGGGATAACAAGGGAGAGTGAGGGACAAGAGAGAGTGACGTACCTGGTGGAAGAGGAGGTCGGCATTGGTGTTGACGTCATCACTGGCTGGTCGTCAAGTTGTCTGGTTGCTTCCATGACTGTAGTTGTAGGATAGGCGGTAGAGTAGATAGGGCGCCTGGCGCCATTCAAGAGAGAGGGCTACTTCGGGTTATGTTGTTGGTGTTGCCCGATTGGGCTTGGACATTGACTCACGACTTTTGCTGTATCGTTCTCAAATGGATGGTTGCTTGGTTCCAATGTGTTATCTGCTCTTGCTTCGACTACTCAGACTTCAGTGTGATTTGCAAATGGGATTTCTTTGCTTCGTCCACATTCATGTTCCTTGCACACCTGTCCTCATACTCCTTGTCTGCTCCTCCTCCTCCTCCTCTGCTCCATCTCTCTCATCGTCCTCATTGCTGTCCTGTCTTTCTCTCTCCTCTCCTCCATTTTTCCTCCTCTCCTCCTCCTCTCTCCTCCTCTTATTGAGGCCGGTGAGATAGCAGTGGCCACAATCACAAAGTTTCGGTTTTTTTCTTTTCTTTTCTTTCTAAAGCATGCATCTGTCCTCCTACTCGTTGTCTCATCCCCCGTTCTCCTCCCCTACATCTTTCCCCGTCATGATCATCTTTGTCCAGCCCTCCCCCTCCTCTCCCCTCTCCTCTTCCTCTGATCTCCTCCCCTTGTTGGTGTGAGTAAGATATGGCCACAAATCGTGATGTTCTTTTTTCCTTTCTTTTGGAAGTGTGCATCCGTCCCCCTACTTCTTGTCTCCTCCTCCACCTCTCTCCTCCCCTCCATCCCTCCTCGTCTTCTCGTCCTCCTCGTCTCTCCTCTCCCTCATCTCCCGTCCTCCTCTTCCTCCTCTCTCCTCCTCTTATTCAAGTCGATGAGATAGCAATAGCTGCAAATTGGAAATTTTTTTATTTTATTTTTTTCCCCGGAAGTGGGCATCTGTCCTCCTCCTCTTTGTCCCCTCCTCCTCCTCTCTCCTCTCCATCTCCTCTCCTCCTCCTCATCGTTGCCATGTCCTCCTCTCTCCTCTCCTTCATCTCTCCTTCCGCTCCTCCTCCTCCTCCTCTCCCTTCTTCTTTTTAAAGTCGGTGACACTCAGGCATAGCAATTGCTGCAAACCGTGTTCTTCGTTTTTGTTTTCTTTTCGGAAGTGTGTCCTCCTATTCCTTGCCTCTTCCTCCTCCTCCTCTCTCTTCTCCTCCTCTCTCTTCTCCTTCATCTTTTCTCCTCGTCTCTTCTCCATATTTTCTCCTCCTTTCTCCTCTCCTCCATCTCCCCACCTCTTCTTTCCTCTCCTCATCATCCTCATCCCCCCTTCCCCCTCCTCTTCCTCCTCTCCCCTCTCATCCTCCTCCTCCTCCTCTTATCTCCCGCTCCTCTCTCCTCCTCTCATGGAACTCGGTGACATGGCAACGGCTGCAAATTACAATTTTTTACTTTTTCTCTTCTACAAAGCCAGGAAAGACAATAGCATGCACCTCTCCTCCTCCTCGTACCCTCATGTCCTCGTCACTCCTCTTATTGAACTCCGTGACATTGCAATGGTGGCAAATCGTGACATCTTTTTTCCGTCGTCTACAAACCAGGAAAGGCAATGGCATGCATCTCTCCTACTCATCGTTCTCATGTAAGTTTCCTCTCTCCTCACTTGCACATTTCCTCCTCCCCCTGCCCTTCCTCCTTTTCCGCCTCCTTGTCCTCCTCTCTCCTCTGTTACATGCCCAGTTGGGCGATGTACATAGAAACCGAGGATCCGCAAGGTGATAAAAAGGACTGAATGGACAATGCAGTGCGAGTAGAATCTCAACAAGCAATGTGCATTCCCATACATACAAAAGGGTGCTGAATAGCGCAGAGGAAGATTTTGATACAAGTCCTCACCTGAACGGGACTGACCTCCTTCACGTAGTGCAAGATAGCGAAGCAGAAAGCTAGAACGCTAATGACTAGCCCAATCAATGTTTGAATGCAGACCAAACATACATCGTATCCATCACAAGGTGTGAAGGAGCCTGGCGCTGGAAGCGCCAGGTCCAGACATACACAGACGAAGAGGAGGGGATCAGACGAAAGGAGGGAGAGAGATGGGAATGTCGTCACTACCATGTCTTTGTCACGAGTCCCAAATAATCCCTCGTTGCCATGTCTGAAGTCCAAAAGTCGAGTCTGGATCCAATGTCACCAAGCTCTTTCTCTCTTCTCTCGTAGTCTGCAGATGCAGTGAAGTCAGATGATGAGAGGGTGAGAGGGAGATGGTGGACTGAGAAGAGGAAGAAGAAGAAATCTCTCTCTCTGTTACGAGCCAGATACTAACCTGTGATGTTGGCGCTGTGCTGCAGGTACCTCGAAGACGAAGCTGGAGCAACGGCGCTGCAGGTAGGTACCCAAGGCCTCCGCCCAATCTCTCTCTCTCTCTCTCTAGTGCTATCCTAGCTATGGCGCCCAGCACTGGAGACTACAGCTACCTACTGCGCCCAGCGCTGAAGACTAAAGGCTAACGCTGCTACTACTCCCTGCAGCGCTCCCTCCAGAGTGCTACGGCCGAATCCTGAAGACTACTGCCTCCTGCCTACCCGTGAAGTGCATGGGAAGTCCCTATGTACTACCTCGGCCTGCCTGAAGGGCGAGCCAGGCCGAGGAGGCTGCTCTTACCAATGCCGAAGTGTGCCAGGGGCTAGCGCTGCAGCAGTTGCTTGAGGCTGGCGTGGGAACAGGCTAAGAATAGCCTGTTCCCGAAACCCTGGTTCGGTGCCTGAGTTTCAGACCGAAAATGGCCCTTCGTTTCAGGCTAAAAAGGCTGTTGCCATTTTTAGTCTGAAACGACACAGGGACTGTAGGCCCCTGTTTTCAGGCTTTCGGTATGAACAGTCACAGGGCCTGTAGGCCCTGGTTTTCAGGCTTTAAGCCTGAATTTCAGGCTTTTAGCCTGAAGGACGCAGGGCCTGGAAAATGGCCCTCGTGTGCAGGCGCAGCATGTAACACCTCCGCTCACCGAACTCGGTGACATGGCAATGGATTTTTCTTTTTGGGTCTTCCACAAAGCCGGGAAAGGCAATGGCATGCATCTCTCCTTGTCCTCTTGCAGTTCTCCTCCTCAGTCCTCTCTTCCATGTTCCCACCTCCGCCTCATCCTGTCCTCCTCTCTCCTCCTCCGTGACATTGTAATGGCGGCAAATTGCATTTTTTTCTCGACAATGGCATGCATCTCTTCTCCTCATCGTCGTCTCGTAGCTCTACTTTCTCCTCCTCTCTCCTCATCCCTTCTGGAAAGCCAGAAAAGGCAGTCCTGAAACAGCATTCCCCTCCCAGTCCCAGGCCTGTCCCACCATGTTCTGAAGTGGGCATAATCGCAGACAATGACAGACTAGCCAAGTGGGCATGGAACAGGCAGGACAATTGAGCCAGGTCTGACACAGTTGGGACAAGCCTGAAACAGCACTGTCCCACCGGTTCCAGGCCTGGTCCACCATGTTCCGACAAATGAAAGAATCGCGTTATCACAGACAATGACAGACTAACCAAGTCGGATAGACAGGCCAAGTGGGGCTGAAACAGCACTGTCCGGTCGTTCCCAGGCCTGTCCCACCATAATCCAAGCTGGGACAGAATCACAGAGCCAACTGGGGATGGGACAGGCGAGACAGGTGGGGCACACCTGAGACAGTTGGGACAGCCCTGAAGCACCACTGTCTCGTCTGCCCCAGGCCTGTCCCACAATGTTCCGAGAGCCAACTGGGGATGGGACAGGCGTGACAGGTGGTATGCTTTTCATGATCTCATCTTATGATTTGATTGCCATGTATTTAGCCATCGGGCACACATGAGACAGTTGTGACAGCCCTGAAACACCACTGTCTCGCCTGCCCCAGGCCTGTGCCTCCATGTTCCGAAATGTGGCGACCCCACAACCTTTCCTGCCCCAGCAAAGCATGCAACAGTCAGATCTTGTGATATTTGTTAGTTGTTTGTGACTTCTTTTTTTCCCCTTTTTTTTTCTTTTACTTCTACTGTGCACTTCGCAATTTTAAAATCTTTTCTGACCACACATGGTCTCTGTGTGGCACCCAACCTTACTCCCCCCCTTCAGAACTGAAAAAAGAGAAAAAAAGAAAAAAACTGTTCAGCATGGCTCTGTGCCACATGCAGACGCGCACGTCACGGGGACGGACTGCACCACACCGCTCGGGACCCTGTGTGGTGCGGCTCGGCGTGGTGCACAGAGAGGTGCTGCTCAGCGCACAGCAGTGCAGACTGTGAGGTTGCAAATATCATACGTACACATTTCTCCGTACCTCTACCTTGTTCATAGAGGGTGCTTTTCCCTTCATTCTATGTTTTCTTACCTGACATCAGCCCTTGGTGCGAAATACAGATCAGTAAGAGAGAGGCCACCTAAATGGCCAGTCCAGCAGTGGCATGAGGGCACTTGCTCTGAGACCAGCGATTACACTGATTACCTTTAGCAGCTGCTCCATGAACTGCACCGCCAAAATAGCTGGAGCTTCTGAGCACCACCAGTGCGGCAGTGAGGGGGCTCGGAATCGGTAGCATTCATGTCATTCGAGTTTTTGTTTAGCTGAGGGTGGAGGAGAGGCGCTGTGCTCATTGAGTTTCAGAACGCAGGCACTGGCCCAAGAGACCATCTTGGAGTGGGCCCACGTGCATCTTCATCAGGCAGCCTAGAGCAGTAACGATTGTGGCTGGAACACGTACAGAGTGGTCGTAAAGTAGAGTATGGCTGGTCGATAGGAGAAGAGTGGGAACTCAAAGGCTGTTCATTTAACTCCTTCTCCCCTCTCTGCTTGCGGTGAATGTCAGGTCAATGAAGCGAATGGCTACATGTCTGCAGAGACAAGAACATACAACATGCAAGCTAAATTCATGAAATCCCTAGAGCATGTCCCTGTAGAAGAGACCTAATCATTTTGATCAAGAGCCCGCATAAAAAATAAATATTTACCTCTTCTGTCAGCTTTGGTGCCTCCTCCTTTGTCACCTTCTCGTCATCCTTTTTGGCTTCTGTGTCCTTCTTCACTGCCGTCCTCCATCTGCAACAAATTTGAATTTTCGTTTTTTAGGGAGCACAGCCGAGGGCGAGACCATGGTAGACGCATGCTCGTCTCACACAATTTCCCATACTATACATACACACAGTGCATACCTGTGGCATTAGGGAGCACAGGCATACAGCATTGTCGCGCTCGCGCACACACACACACACACACACAGACACACACACACACATTGGTGAATTGGCTCATCTCAAGTATATGCTTCATCGTCTGCCATAGAGGTAAATGTGCTGTGATTTTGGATCTACTCATCTGGGTGGAACAGGTGATGTTGTGGTGAAAATTCATAACACACACACACACACACACACACACACACACACACACACACACACACAGAGTAGGGATTTTGAGCTTTTCTATAACAAAGCACATACTACGAGAGTCAGCAACATAGAATGCAGGTTGCCAACTGTACACATACAGTGAACAGTCAAGTAGCACACGCACACACACGCACGCGCGGGCACACACACACACACACACACACTGGTGAATTGGCTGCGTGTGTGTGTGTGTGTGTGTGTGTGTGTGTGTGTGTGTGTGTGTGTGTGTGTGTGTGTGTGNGTGTGTGTGTGTGTGTGTGTGTGTGTGTGTGTGTGTGTGTGTGTGTGTGTGTGTGTGTGTGTGTGTGTGTGTGTGTGTGTGTGTTTTGAATTTTCACCAGAACAGATGAACAGATCCAAAATCAAAGCATATTTAACTCTATTACAGACAACGAAAGTCCTCGAGTTCAGACAACCCAACAATGAAACCCTTTCACCTCAATAACAAGCAACATGCAGTACAATAGCTGCTTTTTTTTTTCCCTTCTTCTTCTTCTTCTTTTTTCTTTTTTTTTTTTTGGTGTGTGTGTGTCTGTGTGTGTGTGTGCATGCGTCTGTGTCCGTGTATGTCTGCATGTGTGTGGGTGTATATCCATCGTGCAAGGATGAGGGAACAGCTTGGGGTATGGGCAAGATGACTGAAGGCAGTAGGCCATGGACGGCTGGGGTAGACAGTGCAAAGCAGGAAAGGTGGGGGAGGCATAACTTCGAAAAATGTACATGACATTTTCGATGACTGGCACCATTGCTTTTCTTTTTTTTTTTAATTGCGGCTCAGGTTTAGGATTCCGTTCCCCAACAACAACGATCGGCCGTCAATCGTCCTTGGAACCTAGGGCGGGTATGTTTGCGAAGGTACCGGGTCCATCTGGAACTATTAAGAGCGAACAGCCCAGATGTGCGGCCAATCACAGAGGTTTAAGATTAGCCACACATCTGGGCCGTTTGCCCCAACGGATGGCACGGATGCACAGCCACAGTTTTGAGCATGGACCTTGCCAATAGCGAAATTTGCTTTCAGTTGCTTCTACTAGCCAGAGTGCAGGAACCATTATGTAATTTATTTTCAGCAATTAACAATTCCTTTGTGTTCTCCTTGACCGAACAGCGCAGAAGATACTTGAAAAAGGCAGAAAAAAGGCGAGCAGGGAAACAAGAAGAGCGAAAAGTAGACGAAACCGGAGGGAGGGAGGGGGAGGAAGAATCAGTGTGGCAGGCAACAAGAGATGAGCACACATGTGAATGATCAAGTTAAACTGATTTAAACATGCAAAGGAAGCACAAGGGAGGAGGATAAAGGGGGGGAAGGAGGACAATGTAAGTCCGTGCTATGTAGAGAGAGAGGAGGGAGTCACAGCCCATGTGATCCAAGCAAAGCAAATGCAAAGAAGAAAAGAGCATGTGGAGAACTTCTGCTTAGCTCTTACTACCTAGGCTACCAAATTGGCCAGGGGCAACTTGCCCGGCCGGGCCAAGAAAAAAAATAAATAATAATAATTATTATTATTTTATTTTTCATTTTAAAGTTGGTAAAGAATTCTGATGTGAGCCTGAGGCAGAAGTTCAGTTCAATATTGTGCATCACATAGTTTTTTTTCAGTTTTTTTTTGTGGGGGGGGAGGGGGGGGTTGCTGGGCCCTTCCCTTGAGCTTGCACAGCCAGGCAGCCCGGTCAAACAAAGCGACCCAGGTGGCCCGGTAGGTAGCCCAGTTTACCACGCATACCGTGTCAGAATTCTGGACCAGGGGCTAGTTTTCCACAGACGACAGGGCATGGATTCGCAACATAATAGTTTTTGCATCAATGGACAGAAGAGCATAGATTCGCAACATACTGTTTTTGCATCAATGGACAAAACTTACTTGAGTAGCCGTTTGAACTCGCCCTTACCAAGGACCCTAAGATCTTCGCAAAGGGCAAGTATCTGTAGCAGACAGCAGAAACAACCGCAAACAGCATGACAATAAGAATGGCACCATCCACATAAAGCGTTGCAGACGGATGAGTGAACATAGAGCATCTCGCAATCTGGTGAGACATGCTGCTGCCACACCAGCACAATAATACAAAATCATAACTATTGATTACAACAAGCCATGAGATCAACCCCTTTAAACTGTTAAGTACACAAACAATGTGAAGGGATGGCGAGCTTTTTTATAACAAAGTAGTAAAGTACATACTACGAGAGTCAGCGACATAGAATGCAGGTTGCCAACTGTACACATACAATGAACAGTCAAGTAGCACACGCAAAAAAGTGCAGGCAAGGCAAGAATTCTTTTCTTGTTATTGCACAACAACTGTCACAAAAATTCCGGTTCAGCAAACAAATCACTACTCTCACGAGTCAATCGGTGTCAGAAAAGCACAGAGCAAGACTACAAAACACAGACCACAGGACAGATGGGTGGGTGCACCTTTGCAAACAGATCCGCACCCAAAACACAAATATACATATAGTCGGTGAAACTCCGACGAGACGGTTTGTCACAGCCCCTCGTTTGTTGTCCTCTTCTCCCTCTCTGCCTACGGTTTACAGGGCAGCTCTGTTTGACGATATATATATGCATCCACGCTGTGCCTCTAGTGCCAGAGGCGCGCCTGGAGTGTATTTTCTGGCTGTGATAGACCTTTCTTTGTTTCGTGGGTGTTTTGCTGGCTTGTGATGGGGGGTGAACCGACAGTCTGTAGAGTTTTCCATCTGGTGTGCGTGAGTGATAGTCTGCTTTGATTTTCATCACAGGTACCTTGAGAGCAGTGGTTGTTGCCCACCTCAGGGTATCAGTTGTCGGGCAGTCGTTGATGCTTAACCACAACCGGAGTTATGGTGGATTATCACTTACAGTGTAATCAGTTCGGGGATAATGCAGACTGTTGAGGGTTCAGCCTCCTGATGAGTCAGTGAAACTCCGGAGAAACAGTTTGTCACAGCCCCTCGTTTGTTGTCCTCTTCTCCCTCTCAGCCTACGGTTTCCCGCGCAGTTCCGTTTGAACGATATATAAACCGTAGGCAGAGAGGGAGAAGAGGACAACAAACGAGGGGCTGTGACAAACTGTTTCTCCGGAGTTTCACCGACTCATCAGGAGGCTGAAAATATACGATATATTAGACCCTCGTTTGTTGTCCTCTTCTCCCTCTCTGCCTACAGTTTACCGCAAAGCTCTGTTTGACGATGCATTGATGAAGTTGAACACGAGCTGCCCACATTTCCGTGTGCCATAACGACCCACTTGTACGCTGTGGGAAAGAGGCAGAGTAAAGGGGAAGGTGAATCAGGTGATAAGCACAGGGAAGAGAGATGAAAAGAAAACGAACAAAGAACCAAAAGGGATATAAAGTACGGAGTGTGGAATGAAGTTGAAGGCAGAGGAGAGGATAAGAAAAGCTCATAAGTGAGTCTGTCCTTGACGACAAAGAGGACACACATTGTAAGGATGAGGTGGGTGAGCACATGGAAGACCTAGCTGAGCATTATCAGCACAACAATTGCGACGATGGCCGGCATTGAGCATGCCCACCATACATACCCGACAAATGGCATGTCGATTGCAGGCCAAAATGAAGGAAGAACGCTCACCACAAAAGACCATGCATTCAGTAAAGCGCCCATGGCCGCAAAATGGACGTATAGTTTCCTGATGCAGAGGGTGCCTGCAGTCAGGAACGGAGGGATAGTCCTCTTGTGACAGAGATGATGGCGGCTACAGCAGAGTGTAACAGTGTCTGTAGCTGTGCAAAGGAGAAGGTCGCAGAGTGTTGGTACATTGTCCTGCTGGAGCACAGGGCCAGAGGAATGATGATCTTCGACATAAAAGAGATTGCGGACAGTTTGGTGAGGCAAGGAAACAGCATCATTATGCAAGAAATCAGTAACATCAGTCATGGCACGGACCATGATGCCGCTGTTGGTACATTGTCCTGCTGGAGCACAGGGCCAGAGGAATGATGATCTTCGACATAAAAGAGGTTGCGGACAGTTTGGTGAGGCAAGGAAACAGCATCATTATGCAAGAAATCAGTAACATCAGTCATGGCACGGACCATGATGCCGCTGTCCCACAGCTCCCAGTGGTCAGAGGCATGTACGATGGTTATGTAATGGCCAGATCCGTGCACAATGCAGGCAGAGATGTGGGATGGAGGATTAAACCACTCACCTGCTCGAGCATTGCGTAGTTCAAGTTGGCGTTCCCTCATTGCTACTTGTAGTACAGCAATGGTAAAGCCTCGTTCCCTCGTATAATTACAATCCTCTGGCGGTACATGGGGGAGATCAGCATCAAGCTGAAGGGCGATAGTAAGGAAGTCTGATGGTGTATAAAACGGCCGGTGGAGAATGTGAAGACAGATATTAGTTGCAGTCAGACCACAGAGATTGGTGAGGGTCTCAGGCCGGCGTGCCGGATGCTGGCCAACGATTTGCAGATCACCCAGCTGGTGTTGCAAGCCCAAAATGTCTTGGGTTGTTTGCTGGTCAGCCATTGCAGATCACCCATGTGGTCTGCGCGTCGAGGGGCACAGATTTGTGGTTCGTCCAAATGATGCTGGTCAGCCATTTGCAGATCCCCCATGTGGTCTACGCCTTGTGGGGTTAACTGCAATCCCGACAGATCATGTTCCAATCCCTCAACATTTGGGGCCGCTTCTTGAGCATTGTCCCGGAAATCAGGAGTGTACTCTGGGCAGGCACCACATTCTATTGTACAGGTGGTAACGTCTAACGCTGAAGGGCATAAGACATGGTGTCATGGCTGCCTGCAGGCAGCTGTACTGTCTGCCAGAGGCATAGGAGTGGATATTGCCGTTTGGAACAAAGGAACCGCAACAACCTGTGGAGAAGGCACAGAGAGAATTCGGCTAGACAAAGAAACAGGCTGCTGATCCTCGGACAGACGATGCCGTAGTTGTCATCGATGATACACAATAAGGGGAGTAGTCGTGTTGCAAACAGAAGATGAACATGTCCCTGGCAACGAAGGTGGAACAATGGGAACAATGGAAACCGGAGAGTCTGTTCGCAAGCGAGATCGTGGAGGAGATGGGGGCGGCGAGGAGGAACGCAGCCGTCTGTGGCCAAGCACAGAAAGAGATGAAAGGGGGGCGGATTGGGCAGGATTTCAAAACAAAGGATGTGAGTGTCGAAGAAACTGTGATCTTCTTTGCACTGGAGCTGCGGTAGAGGAAGCTGTAGCAGCAAAAAGTATAGCACGGAGACTGCAGCAGAGGAAGCTATAGTAAGAACTGCAGTAGTGGAAACTGCAATAGCAGAAACTGACAGAGTGAAAGCCGGAGCTGTAGAAAGTGTAGCGGTGGAAACTGCAGCATCAAAAATTACTGCAGCAATGGGGACTGTTGTAGCAGAAACTTCTGGAGTGAAAACCGGAGTTGTAGAAACTGCAACAGTGGACACTGGAGCAGTCGAAGCTGCAGGAGCCGAAACTACAGTAGCAACAGATGAGCAAGCAGGAGCAGGACAAGAGCGACGCGGGGGCAAAGAAGAAAGTGGATGATATAAGGACCATCGCAGCATGCGTAGGATAGCGACGCTGGCGAGAGCGCATGTTGCAGGTCCACCCTTTAGCAAGGGATGTGAACACACCCGCCGCTTGATGGGAAGGGATGTTGGAGGTCGCACTTGGATAACGAAGCAGCCGCTTTATCAAACACACTCATGCGAAGCGAGCCATCAGAACGGACCTGTGGATGCATACCTAAGAAGGTACACAAGCCATTTGTCGTTGTAGTTTCCTTCCACTAAGGCCCATAGTGCTCCGGAGGAGTAGGTAATTGCCCCCATGAAAGAAGAACATCAATGATGCGATAAGTGAGGGCGTATCGTTGAGCAGCTTGAAGATCATGTTCATGAATGTCATCAACAAAGCGTGCTTCATCCCAATACAGTGTCAGATTAGAAATTTCTGGGCCAGCATTTGTTCCAATTGGAATACCAGTAACTTGCTTCGTAAGTGTGTCATCTCTAGTGTACAGACAAGTGTTTTGTGCAACAAATCAAAGATGTTGGAGAATACGAGAAACGAAAAAGGTGTCCGGGCCTGAATCGGTTGTCAATTGGCCACAACAAGGTCCTCGAATAGTCATGTTCAAGGCACTGCATCGCGAATGCCTGTGAGTATGCCGAAGGGCATAAGCATGGACTTCATCAACAGCTTTTGCCACATTATTCAGAATGCGGTCACGAGGGAGGTTGGTGTACATTGTGGTAAAATCAACAGTGCGAGGAGAGAGGCCACGAAGAGACGATGAATTGTTTTTCAGGTCACTCACCACTTCATCAGCACTCTGAACGATCCAGCACCATCCAACACCACCCTGTTGATAGAGCTCGGTATCTTTCTCGCGAAGAGTAGAGATCACTCCTTGCAAAATAGCGCTGAGATACAACGAAGTAGTCATTGTGCTAGCCATGATTTGTGAGGAGGCCGTTCATGAATAGTGTGAATTGTTGGGCGAGGGCGAGCGCGCGAGGGAACAAATTTGTTATGTGTTGTGACTCCAAGAATGCTACAAAGAGCTGGAGGAGATTTGTGAGCTTTCAGCACGTAGTAAAGGTAAGGTACGGTATCAATATGGGTGTAGCCCCAATGGTGATTCCATATTGCATGGCGGTCAAGGACATCAGCAACGGATTCATCAGGACGAGTATAAGTGGGACTATCCAAATGGGTGGAAAGACGAAACAGACACCAATTCTTGCAGCAAATTCCCAAATTGTGCGATGTTTTGTCCACAGGAATAATGGCAAGTGTTGTTGAAGATGGCGCAAGGAGGCATGTATAGAACAAAGTGAATGTGACTGGCTCACGTGATTGGAAAACGAGGCTGCATTGGATTGACAATGTGCAAGGATTGCAAGCGCCAATTGTTCAACTTCTGAGAAAGAGACGAGAAAGAAGTAGATCGAGAATGCCCGGCCAACAACCTTTTGTAATTGGCATTGGATTGACAATGTGCAAGGATTGCAAGCGCCAATTGTTCAACTTCTGAGAAAGAGACGAGAAAGAAGTAGATTGAGAATGCCCGGCCAACAACCTTTTGTAATTGGAAATGTACTCATCGAGTCCAATTGCCAATGCCTGGAGCACATCGGCAATTTCCCCATTCAGGCGATACTTTGACCCTTCTTGAAACAGCTTGCGAAGGCTATCATCGAAGATGATATTGTAGTCAACAGACACAACATGGCCATCAACAAGATCAGAACAAGAGGAAAGGCTCTGCGGCATTCGCAATTTGAGGAGTCGGGTAAGGTCATGCTAGGAGTAACACTCAAGGCCACATCAATGAAGTTACAAAATTGAACACGTGTGGCTGGCATCAGTTTGTCACATGCACGGACATGTGTGGCTGCTTAAGGGTCAGGATGCAATGCAACTACTTCTGGTAATTGTAACACATGGAGCAAGTTCGTACCACGAACTGCCACATGCACATGTACGACCTTGATGTGGTCAGTAAATGGGTCACGAGGTTATGCTGCGTAACGTTGGCGAGTATGCTGGGATTTTTGAATCAGGCATTTGAGTTTTCGAATGTCTCCTGTCATGTCCGCATTGGAGACATTGTTGTACAACCACTGCAAAAGTTGTACCCTCCATGCTGGTGTCACTTGCTCAATATCAGTCTTGACACGACAAGAGTTACCCGAAGCAACTTCCGTGAGAAGGCGATGCAATGAGGTACGAATTAAAAGTTGGGACCCAGACGAAGATCAACAGCACATGACCTAACCGAAGGTGTTGGCAAGAGAGGTAAACATTGAAGAGGTGTCGGTAAAAGGGTTGGAGCATGAGAGCCAACGGGTGTTGGTAAGAGGGGTGTTGTGTGAGAGGGATCAGCTGATACAGGAACAGATGGAGCAGCACTAGATGTGGCAGGGAGTGAAACAGGAGTAGTTGAGGCATTAGGAGGTCAAAGGGGCTGGAGAACAAAGGGACGTGGTCCCATTTGTGTCCAACGATGAGGGCGGATGTGTCACCGTGGAGACGGTGGTCTAGCCATTGGAAGGACTGCATTGAAACCGTCGGGTTGAAGAGTTCGAAGTTTCTGGACCCAGAAACCCTCGCGGGGTGCAGCAGCCCGTACGAAGAGGGCATGATCAACGACGCCTTCTGTCATATGATAAAGGGTAGGATCAATACATTCTAAGGGCCAAGCCGCAAAGTTGAGTGTTGGTTGCCCACACATTGCACAGTAGAGATGGCGATGGCGAAAAGCAGCAGAAGAGCACCGTGTATGCCAATGCTCTTGCAGCCGTTGATGTGCAGAATGCATCGTCTGTCCAACATATAAACATCCAAAAGGCAAATGAACAATTGCATACATCACTCCTCGAACAGTGAGGGGTTCCAGATGTCGACCTAAGAAAGGGGCCAACCAAACTAAGGTGCATCCATGCTCACCTCATCATTTGTTGCAGAATGAGTTTTCAGCGGCACACTTTCGGGGTCTGTGAACGTGATGACATTGAAGGTTCCCAGGAATTCTGCTGGCTTGTCTGAAGACATAAATGCTGCAGCCGTGCCAGATTTGAACAAGACAGAGGCACCCTCTTCATATCTGAGGTTCCAAACACAGCACAACAAGGAAAGACAGAGAGCCAGCTTTGTGAATGCCAGAGACATACATAACCTACCCTCCTCAGGCAAAGCATAACCTGGGTGAACACTAGACAAACACAAACCTTTAAGAAAGAGGACAATGCTTGTCACATTTCCCATAGGGTGACTGGTTCTACCCCTGGCAGATGTCATCCCCATGCCACCCCAGGCACTTGGAACAGCAAAAGTTCATGAAACAGCTGTGTATGATGATGATTGGCTAACCACAGGGGCATGGGGAACGCAGCACTAAAGGCCCTAGTTTGTTTCTTTCCTTTTCAGTGAGAGAGAGAGAGAGAGAGAGAAAACTGAACATACACAATGTTCAGAGAGGGGCAGAGAGAGAGATTGATAAGCGTTTGTTGCTGAACACGATGCCCTGTGGTTCCGCCATGCGCGGTCCAGTGCCAGTGCTGTGAAGTGCAGCCTACTGGTTTCTGAAACTAATGCTGAAACGCCACTGCATTCCAAACATTGGCCCACCTCAAACAGGGAGGACCGCCCAGCCTAAGTGTTGAAAAGGCAGGGGAGATCAAAGCCGCATGATCTTGAAGATCAAGCGGGTGAGAAAACATCTTTGAGGTACCAATTGAAGAAGGCCTGCCAGACACATGATTCGATGAAATGGGGTGTGTGGACCTTAGCCTCAACCCCAGATTACCGCTTCTTGTTTTTCTTCGAAGAACTGGTCCGACAATTTTGCTGCTTCTTCGCTCCAAGAAAGATGCCCAAACCCAAGACGACCTCAACCCGCAACGGCTAGGCCCTGAAACCGGTTCTTGACCCTGACCACAACCACTCCGTATGCCGATCTCTGCTGCCCATCGATTTTGATGCCCTGGTGCAGGTGAGAGCTTAACCTATTTGGCTGGTGCCGCCAACCTCTTTGTTCCAGTAGGCTGAGCCCCAAAAGATATGGCGCATTAACGGCTGTGTCAGAAGGGCTTAGCTTGGAAAAGCACTGGCTTCTACACTGTTTTAAACCACCAGTACCTAGCGGTTGTTAAGGCCCGTGGCTCAGCCTACCGGTAACCCGATCCTTGCCGAGTACCGGTAGCTGCATAGAAAAGAAAAAAAAAAAGAGAAAAAATAAATAAATAAACAACATTCTTCTAGAAAAGGAAAAAAAAAAATTGAAGAGAACCATTGTACCCCGTTTCTCCCAGCTTGCCAGCGGGGAAGAGAGAGAGAGAGAATCTCGGCGGCCTGTGCGGGGCGCTCCGCGCAGCCCGCCGAGACTGCAGCGAGCATCTTGGCGCTGTATCTTTCCATGTTCGAGTGGAAGATTCACTCTCGTTTTGCACATTTCGAGAGAGTGCAGCGAGGCTCTCTCTCTCTCTCTCTCTCTCTCTCTCTCTCTCTCTCTCTCTCTCTCTCTCTCTCTCTCTCTCTCTCTCTCTCTCTCTCTCTCTCTTACACGCGCGCGCTACCGGTGTGTGTGTGCGCCTCCCCCGGCCTGCCCCCCGCCCCGCCCTGCGGCCCCTAAATGAGAACGAATAATTTCCCATTATCGGGGAATATTCATTCTCTTTTACAACAAAATACACCCCCCCGCGTGTGTGTGCGTGTGTGTGAGAGAGAGAGAGAGACTCGCTGCACTACACTCGAAAAGTGCAAAATGAGAGTGAATCTTCTGCTCGAACATGGAAAGATACAGCGCCAAGATACTCGCTGCAGTCTCGGTGGGCTGCGCGGAGCGCCCCGCACAGGCCGCCGAGATTCTCTCTCTCTCTCTCTCTCTCTCTCTCTCTCTCTCTC